ACGGGAAATTATCAAACAAGCAGATACGTAACAATACTTTATCAGTTATTTGAAATAAAGATACACAACATTAATCAAAACTAAAACAAATCGGTAAGCAAGGAATCCTTTTTTTATAATTAAGTACTACTTCTTTGAAGTTGTGTAATAATACATTGTTACACTTTGCCAGCAGCATGAGTTAAACTTTTACAGCTGTAGATTCCTGAAACCCTTTTTGACCTTTTTTTTTTAACCCTTCAACTGTAGTTGACATCATATGATGCAAGCATTTTGCACATAACATCTTGAATGATCTGCTGCAAAAATTTTTGAATCTTTCCGCATGGGGTGGTGGGCAGATTTAACACAAGCTGCAAATGAAGGGTTAAATATAGGAATAACAGTGGCAAGCTTTTGTCATCAGGATCTTTCCCTGTGAAAACATTCCCCTATGACTTTATACTTTCTTAAATATTATGTCAGCTTATTCAAGCCATTTATTAATCATGTGCAAGTCAATCTGGGTTAGTTATTGTCATTTTTGTTAGATTTGTTTTTATCTGAATGTAATCAACATACATAGTTTAAATAACTTACAGGTAATGCTTTAAAAATATTTTTATGTAAAAAAAATTGCCAAAGCGAATCACATTTAAGCCATTCTTATTGTCTTTAATTACAACATTAGCAGCATTTACCTGTCCACTAAAAGTATGTATTGGTCAATTACAGAGTGCCCAAACAAGGCTACTGATCAAAGGAGGGAAAATTGTCAATGATGATTTAATGTTCGATGGTGATATCTATCTTGAGGATGGAATCATCAAGTAAGTGAAGGCTACAGGTTTATGATGCTACTTTGTATTACTGGTGTTGAAATGCTTGTACTGAGAAGCATTTCACTAATTGCAAACTACATTCATTGTTTTGTATTTATTTATTCGTAGCATACTGCAATCTAAATTTATGGAGAGAACATTATTGAATGATAAAATTTTATAACTGAAGTAACAAATGTATATAAAAAAAACTAAAGTTACCTTGAATACAAATAACAAAATCCATTTGAGTAATAATGTCTTTTCATCAGTATCATTAGTTTTCAAATGCACAATTCAACTAAGTTAAATATAAACATTGTATTCTTAGTTATAATTGCCATTCACCAAGCTTTCACAAAGTGCTGTGATCAGTACTTTTCTATACCATTTAATCATGCAATCGATTATAAATCATTACTTCTTATTTGGAAAATACGATATGATTGATTTGGTTCAGAAAGGCTTCTGTATATTAAATATATAATTCCAATCACTTTTAATATTCAAGGTTATACTGAAAGGTCTGCTTTACAATTCAAACAAGTCTTCTTTATTTAACATTCTAACTACAGTGTGATTTAAAAACAATGGTACCTTTAAAACTGGACTTCATATTGGCTATTGTAATTTTATTTAGGAAAGTTTGAACATATTACAGGGCTTGTAATTTTATTTAGGAAAGTTTGAACATAATACAGGGCTTGTAATTTTATTTATGAAAGTTTGAACATAATACAGGGCTTGTAATTTTATTTAGGAAAGTTTGAACATAATACAGGGCTTGTAATTTTATTTAGGAAAGTTTGAACATAATACAGGGCATTTCAGTATCTCAAGGCTATCCTTAAACGAAAGTAGTGGAAGTTTCTTTACAGTGTTATAGTGATCTTCACAATATCCAACAACACCAACATGTATTTTATATACATCATCAATTGTATATTACTGAAAGAGAGAGAGAGAGAGAAAAATAAGGTAAATAAAGACTGCTAGTTTTCAAGAAAAGTAATTTAGGTATGCAGTAAAATATTGTTTTGAAACTCAACACTTCTTATGAACCATTTGGACAACATAATCATTGTGTTTATGGTTTGATGAATTTTTCTTGATGCAGTGGTGGATTATTAGTTCCTGATAAACCTTACCAGTTATTTTTAGAACTTACCAAAGATGCAAAACTATTTGAGATAAAAACCCTGAGTTTACTGTATTGATAACGTGACATGCAATTATGCAGTTCAGACGTATCTGTTTTTATATTCACTTATTCCACCCAAGTTTTATTTTGTCAGGCAAGTTGGAAAAGATCTCATCATCCCTGGAGGTACCAGGACTATTGATGCCAAAGGGAAGCTAGTTATCCCAGGTAAGTTATTTTTGTAAAATATATTAATCAAGAGAGGTCTGATTGATTTATTGATTAAATAAATGAATCTAAAGAAAGCATAATTTATATATCAATGAAGTTACTTATAAAAGGATTTGATGATGCTTGACTCTCCTGGAAATCGTCAAATGACCCAACAGACTTCTCTACAAAACTAAAACTAACCTTTCGTTTATGTGTAGAATACTTAAAGCTATAAGTAATTTTTTTATGATTTACTAGGAAATAAAGATAAAAATATTCAGTGAGGAATAGAAATCTTAGGGTTGTATTGACTTAAAAAATTAGAACACATAGTACTTTACAGCATATAATTAATGTGAAAATCTTAGGGTTGTATTGACTTAAAAAACGAGAACAACATAGTACTTTACAGCATATAATTAATGTGAAAATCTTAAGGTTGTATTGACTTAAAAAACGAGAACACACAGTACTTTACAGCATATTGTTACGACATCGAGGTCACGTGACTAGTATCACGCCACGTCATTTTCGAACTTTCACGTCTTTTCCTTAAATCTCGTGATTTTTCTAGATATAGTGTAGTCTTGTATATATAAGACCGGCCACGAAGCGACGGGTAGGTAATGAGTAATTGAATGTATGCAGATAAAATATTGTTGGCCATGTGAGACAATAGTGTAGTCTTGTATATATAAGACCGGCCACGAAGCGACGGGTAGGTAATGAGTAATTGAATGTATGCAGATAAAATATTGTTGGCCATGTGAGACGTGAGTTATAGCGTTGTTATAGAGCGACTGTTGAAATTAAGTGTATTGTAAAGTTGTATTTGGAAAGAATAAACCAGTTTTATTTAAGAAAGGACTTGTGTCGCTAAAGTTTCGTCGGAACGAATTTACGGAAAATTAACTAGCGAACGGAGACGTAACAAATTAGTGTCAGAGAGTGGGACAAAAAAAAAGGAAACGAGAGGCGGAAAATCAAACTACAGCTTAGCATACTTGATGGAAACAATACAAGAGCAGCAAAAGAAACAAGAAGAACGAGAAAATAAACAAGAAGAGAGATTACAGCAATTGTTGGAGGAAAAAGAAAAGAAACAAGAAGAGAGATTACAGCAGTTGTTGGAGGAAAAAGAAAAGAAACAAGAAGAGAAATTACAGCAGTTGTTGGAGAAAAAGAAAGAAACAAGAAGAGAAATTACAGCAGTTGTTAGACGAAAAAGAAAAGAAACAAGAAGAACGAGAGAATAAACAAGAAAAGAAACAAGAAGAACGAGTTGCAGGTTTTCTTGCAACTGCTGTAATCTCTCTTCTTGTTTCTTTTATAATGTATCTAATTCGCTTTTGAATTTACTAATGATTTACATTTGTACTTCTTTCCACTGTTGTAGTTTCTCTTCTTGTTTATTTTCTTTCTCCTCCAATAGCTGTTGTAATCTCTCTTCTTGTTTATTTTCTTTCTCCTCCAATAGCTGTTGTTATCTCTCTTCTTGTTTATTTTCTTTCTCCTCCAATAGCTGTTGTAATCTCTCTTCTTGTTTATTTTGCTGTTCGAGCTGCCACTTAATGATGATTTATTGTCTTTTACACCAGGAGAACACATTAACCGTCGACTTAAGCAGCCCCCAGGCAATGGCAAGCCCCTTCCAGACCCCACAGCTAAACCCTAATGCAGACATATTTAGTCCCGTTAGAAGTCACTTCCCAGATATGAATGTCAGTAATAGGAGTGATCCAGTACGAAGCAAACCACAGTAATACGATGGCAAAGCACCGTGGGAAGCATATAGAGCACAATTTGAGCTACTGGCAGAGATGAACGATTGGACAG